TTAATAAGACAATTTTACATTTTATTTACAAAAATAAATGAACAGGAGTGGACAAGGAAAAAACTTGGGGAAAAAAGTGTGAGACTGTATGTTGTTTGCACAGGAACAGGCATATTAGTGGGAAGTTGGCACCCTGGTAGCTAGGTGGCAGAAGGCCTGAAGGGGGAAACAGGATTGGGCTACATTAGCATAACAATGTGTCCAAACTGAGAACTGGTCTTGCTTGTTTCCTGAACTGCAAAAATGTTTTTGAAATTCTTCTCAAAGATGTCCTCTAGTTGAAGTCCCAGATTGATGAATTTATTGCCCTGAAAAAATGAAGACAGAAACAGTAATAACCCTCGTTCAATAAGTTTAGACACCCAATGTTTCAGATAATCTGGAGCCTTATTTTAAACTACCCCAAATGTTAAGTGAGAATTAACCCAGTTAGGAGGAACTTATGTTCTCTGAGACTTTGATTATTTCTCTTTAACCGGAAGAGAAGCAAAAATAGTACTATATTGCTGTTTAATCCCCGATCAGAACTTTATTGATTAATTTAATTTAAAAAAATTCTAGTTATTTGATTTTTAAATACAGCACATATTATTTGTAACAATATGAAATGTACATAAATAGTACAGAAATATCTATGGGAGATCAACGGTGTCTTCCTTTTTTCTTCACTCTCACCCCTTCAAGTAATCTTTATTAACTTTTTCTTTTTCATTTCTATTTCAGAATTTAGTTTAATTCATTGAAATAAAGCAGCTGAAAGTTCATCTCTCACCTACTCTCTGAAATTCTTATTTTTAAAATTTTTATTATTACTATTTTTTCATCCTCGTTAACTTTTTGATACACCACTAAAAAATTTGGGTGAAAAGAAATCCAAGATTTTGATGTTTGAGAAATTTGACTTCTCTTTGTTTAGAGAAGAGAAACCATAGCAGCCTTTAAAATGTACTTCTGTATAATAAATTAGGGTCAATTAAAAATAAATAAATAAATAACGCTAAAAAATAAAACTAAAAAAATAAAATGCACTCTACTTCCTGTGGAAGTGGGTAGGTCTGCAGCCTACTCTTCTCTATGAGCGAGAGTTGACTACCTAGAAGTGAGCAGACTCTGATGTCCTAGGGTTGTGTTTGCAATGACACGTGGTTTGTTGCTATTTTCCCCAGGTGCACCACAAGGCTTTCAGGATACTTTCAGAATTTGTACTTATGTCTGAGCTTGCTACACGATGAGGGCAATTGTAACATCTACCTGATCCAAGAAGATGAAAGGTAAAGGGACTTAATTGAAAGAAAAAGTGTAGCAGGGGGAGCTACTTACCCTGTAAACCATCCGGTGGTTCTGAAAGATGAGGCGCATGTCCCGCACAAACCCCTCCACTTGGGGGTACACCTTCTCATTCAGCCTTTTCTTGATTTTGTCTAACCACATGGGCTCCTGTGGTCCCTGAGACCCCTCTCTACTCTGCTGAGAAAAGTACCAACGGGAGGGCTATTAAGCATGGTTGCAAGTCTGGCTTCTGTAGACCCCCATTGTTATGGACTGAATGTTTGTGCCCCTTCCATCAATTCATATGTTGAAATCCTCACCCCCAGTGTGATGGAATTAAGAGGTGGGGCCTTTGGGAGGTGATTAGGTCATGAGGGTGGAGCCCTCATGAATGGGATTAGTGCCCTTATAAAAGAAATTCCGGAGATCCCTCTCCTTTTATTTCTGCCATGTGAGAACACAGTGAGGCAGCAGTCTGCAACCCAGAAGACAGCCCTCACCAGAACCTGGCTGTGATGACAACCTGATCTTGGACTTACCAGCCCCCAGAACTGTGAAAAGTAAATTCTTGCTGTTTACAGCACCCAGTATATAGTAATTTGTTATAGTAGCCTGAACTAAAATATACATCAACAAGGCAGAAATAATGGCAGCTTGTATTTATGGGATTCAGATCACAGAATGAACAAATGCAAATTTCAGGCTTCTTTTTTTTCTCCCTGTTACTTACATAAGATGGTTCTGAGACAAAAAAGGAGCTTTTGGAACAGCAATAGACCTTCAAGAGGAGCCACTCACATTTCTAAAAAAGATGAAAGAAATTTTAAGTGAAAAGTAGCTCAGAGAGAGAGAGCCCATATGCATGCCTAGACAGACCGCACGGCTCCCACATCTGTGGACTCTTTGAAACAACGAGGATTTTCTCTGGAATACAAATTTTGGAGTTAGGTCATGTGACCAAAGCACAGCATGGGCCAGCAGTTTACTGCTGAAGAAGAGAAAGGAAGGGGATTTCAGTTCATGTCTTGACTCACCAACTGTTCCTCAGGCAGCATCTCCCTCATCAGGACCTCGGATTCCTGATGACATGGTTGGTTCTTTGGGCACCTTTCCTGGATAGACTTTGTTATGCAGAAAGTGCAACTCCATGGGTTCCTGAGAGGTCAAGCATACAATGATCAAGGGCAGGTTCTGTGAATCAGCCACATTCCCATAGCTGCTAAAGTCCTCTGTTCAGGAATGACTGGTGATTCCCACCTTGTATCCATTTTTTCTTGGCATTAGAGCCCCTTCCCATCCATAGTGGTAGCAGGGGTGACAGTCTGTTGAGTGAGGTGCTCCACTGAGTGACGGACTCTCGTTCACAACTTGGGGCTCCCATCTGAGCCACTGTGCACTTGATATCGAGCCCTGCTTGCCATAATCAGGTACTGGAAATTAGTACCTTAATTAGTACTGAAGTCTTGGTCCTCAATGAGCCAATCAGATTATAGTAAAACTCAGGAAACCAGCTCGTTTCTCAACTTAGCTCGGTAAGCACAGAGCACAAACTATAGGCATCTTCTCCTCTGGCATTGCCATGTCTATACATAGAATCTGTGCTGCAGAAACTTCTTCAAAAGGAAATTTACTGACAGGGTGTCAGATATCTTCTATTTTCCCCGAGATTCATTTTCTAACCTCCTCTACCAGGCTCTCTGTGCTGGGAGACTCTCAGTAATCAGGTGGACACAATAACATCCCAGTGGTGTCAACCTCTCCTTGTCCACCCAATGCTTTCTCAAGTGGCTCGTTACAAAGTGCCCACAGTGCAGGGAGGAGAGCTATTCATGGACTAGAAAAACAGCTGATCTATCGTCTGCCTCTACAGATTGTCCAACTGGTCAAAAGCAGAGATTTCGGTGATCCCCTGATATGGCCCCGGGGGCAGGTGGATCACATTAGACTCTTCCCTTTATGGAAGGGCAGTGCTGTGTCCTCACAGAGACAGACACACTCCTGGTAGAGATCGTCCTCCAGGCCACAGCAATCCTGCCCGCAACACCACTCAGAGAACTACTCATTAATCTCCACAGTATCCTACACACCATCACCTCTGTCCAAGGACACATTTTACAGCAAAGAACATGTAGCAGGGGGCTCACACTCACAGAATTCACAGGCCCTATCATGTGCCCTGTGATCCAGACTCAGTTGGCTTGATAGACTGCTAGGATGGCCTTCTGCAGGCTCGTTACAGCACCAACTTTTATCAGCTTTGTGATGTTCCCACAGCAGGTGGTATGTGCTTTAAACCAGCCAGTGCAGATGTCACCATCCCATCAGTGTGCTTGGGTCTGGGAACTAAGTAAGGGAGGTGTGTGTGTGTGTGTGTGTGTGTGTGTGTGTGTGTG